CGGCACGGTTGCCGACCCGACTCGCGGGATTTTATCGGCGCGGGCTGTTTTTCTCGGGCCTTGCCGATAAAAAGGAAAATGGTTCTCCCTGCAGGAGAATGGTCGGTCGTTGGCGGGAATTTTCGCTCAGGTGAAAAACTCGGACAAACGAGGCAACTACGTAAAAGAAAAAGTTATGCAAAAATATTACAGCGCAAAGCGTGCAGGTGCCGTTTCTCGGACATTCTTATGTCATTGGGATCGTGAGACACATTTTTATGAATGATGGAATGAAAGGGATTTCTCCCCAATCTGATGAAAAGGGATTCTGGGAACAATCGAGTCGCATACCTTCCTAATGAAGAGGACAAGTCTCCCATGCATCAAAAGTCGAGGGAAGGAGCCCCGAGTTGGGTGGGCTTCTGTCGGACAAAAAGGCATTCCAGCAATGCAATGAAACGCAATACAAGAGGAGTGACTTCATGAATCGAACCGGGACGTGGCGTGATTGTGTCAGAAAGGGGGCAACTGAAAAATCTTTTCGTCTTCGCGTTCCGACGGGGTTTTTCGACTCAATCGGACATGGTCCAAAGCCAAAGGGATTTGGCTTGACCACGCGGGGGAGAGAAAAAGCGGAGCCGCATCAATAGATGAGGCGAGATTTATTGCCTTCGGCTGCCTTTCTCCAATAAGAGACCAAGGAAAGCAAAGAAAGAGAGAAAGAAAAGAAAAACAAGGAGCAGAACCGTGTCGCACGTCCGCCTCCACCCCCACATCCGGCCGCTGGCATCCTTTGGCTTGTGTTTTTTTTTTTTCCTCAATCCTTCCACTTCTTGAAAGGATTTTCTGGGATGGATTCACGCTTTAAATAACGTCCGTTTTTTTCCCACCACTATTCGGATCCTCTCCAAAAATTCGGACCTAACGGCATCCGCTGTGGGGGGAGATCACCATCGATAATTGAGGCTTCCGCTCAGCAGGGATTCAACCCTTCATTCCGCTCTGCGGCTTTTCTAAATGGAACGCTTTTGATCAAACGTTCCCTCCCGCAAATTTATTGGCTAATTACGGCGCGGGAAACGATCGTCCGTTTTACTGACATGCTGATCCACGGAACCGGGAGACACGCATTCTACTGCAAACATGCCAGACCGAAATGAGGAAAGCCCATTTCCTCCACGGCCCAAAGATATGCGTCTTTTCCGGATAACTGAATCCGTCACCACACGCGGCATACGCGACACGCTGAAGATGATGCCCCCGACCTTGAAGCCAGGCGACCGAGGGGGACGGATACGAGACCAAACCGACCAGCCCACGGTCCCAACTCTGACGCCGACGGCGTGGAAAAGCGGACGGAAGATGCAACTCACGGCCGTTGGGATAGGGGTGGTTTCCTCCACACAGGAAGGGTCATTTTTGAAATGGAAGTGATTTCCAGACAGGAGCAGGGGGTTCTAGACCCCCTCCAGCCAATCTGTATACTCACAAGGGGAGGAAGACGAAGGAGAAGAAGAAAGATAACAAATTAACGAAGAGCTAAAGCAAGAAAGGGACCCGCCCGTTGTTAATGGTATGCTTGGATCATATGCATAGGAGAAATACAGACGGAAAAAGAAAGAACATTTGTCTGAATAATACCACAGGGTATATCTCATCAACGCCCAAACCCCCTAACGCGATCTGGGATGATGGAAACACGCGTTCTTCGTGAACCTTTTTTTTTTTTTTTTTTTGCTTCCTTTTTTTCCTTCTTTCCCTCTCCCCTTGTTTCCTCCATGCTGTTGATGAGGGCTTTTCGGATCCCGATAAAGTGAGTGGTTCCGTGTCATGGGTCGCCCATGTAAACACTACTTCAGATGACGCGAGAATCTCGAGAGGATGATTAAATGCGCCATGGGAACGGATGTAAAAATACTTAAATTCCATCAGAATCTCGGCCGACAAAGCCCACCCGGCCGTCTCGTCCCGATAAGCTCGACCGCCGTCCCTCTCGCCTCCGCGTCTTGCGACACGGCTCCGGCCCGTTCGATTGCTCATCGGGAACGCGGAGGCTGGGGACGGGGAGGGAGAGCGCGTTGTCTCAATTACCTGTCACCAGGCTCCGGGGGGCTAACATGGGGAATGGGAGATTGGATTGAAAGAAAAGTAACAGAAGCAGCTTAGACGGAGGCTGGGCCACCATAAAAGTGCCACCTGAATTTACGACCCAGTGCCTCTGTAATTACGGCCTCTGATTCTTCCCTAATTACAACGGGAACTGCCACTTGGATTTTGACCGAGAAAAAACGGGGAAAATACCCCAGAATTCTCGGGGTAAAGGGAAACGGTAGTGTTCGTTTGTTCGCCCCTTGCCCACTCAGAAAGAAAAGGCAACCCCTCCTAAACTCTGAGCCCACTTCATAAACCTACTGTTGGCCTTTTGGGATTATTCAGGCCCGTGAGGGGAGGATATGTAGGGTATGAGGTCCTTCCCGACGTACACGACTGGCTTTCGTCTTTCGTACACGGCTTCTTGCGGCTTCCCAGCTGCCCCTTCCAGTCTCCCCATAAACAAATCTAATTTTACCTACCGTTTATTTTTCGATTGATCGGTTACATCCAGCAACAACAAACCACATTCCTCTCTCGGCTTTTGCGAGTATCAAGGCCTTGTCTTTTCCGTCGATGTGGAATGCGGAGTGACGTGCTTGAGCTTCCTGCACCGTTAGCGAGTAGCCATTATACAGCGTTAGCCATTATACAGAAGCGGATGCGGAAAATTATCCATGGGGTTGGCGATGGGGAGAAGAATTGCACCTTATCCCCCCCGAATCCGCCAATGCCGGCGACAGGAAATAAATAAATGAATTAGAAAGAAAAATGTCAAGGGAGCAGGAGAGATTGCATGAGTTGTTGAACAATGTTAAGTAGAGAGAAGGAAAAAAAGGGAAGGGAGGAGGGGGGGGGGGGGTTTGAGGTCGCATACCTAGGAAGAAGCTTGCATTGTTCTTGGGTCGCTTCGTCAATGTCCTACTGTCATCCTCGGTCCTGATATGCAAGACACTCGCGTGTCTCGTCTCATCCACTATCTGTCTTCATCGTCCGAGGAACCCACCCGCTTCGGCTTCGTCATCACACCCTCATTTCTCCTGGCCCTTCCTTCTTTGTCCATCACAATGGTCAAAGAACTCCCTTTCCCATTATGCTTCTTACCGGTCCGTCTGGGACCTGGGGCCTGGGCTCGAATGTCAATAAAAGCACCTTCTCTTATCGGGTATTTACCACGACAATCCTTTGACCTAACACCATCGAGGGAACCGCTGTAAATCACACGGCTGTTGTGATTATTCCCGACAAAGCGAAACATAAAATCACGCCGCTCGCTCCTTCATACAGATAGCGTATCGGCAATAACTGTCATTATATGGGGGAAAGAAATATAGCCGCGCTGCAATAAAGATCATGGAGGTCCCACGTCTCCTCCCCTACAAACGGCAAATGCTTGTGCTACCTCAGGGCATCATTCCTTCTCGGGTTCTCTCTTTGGCGAGGCATTGACATTTCTCGAATGGCATCGATCAGGCGCACGATAGGCCTTCAGAAGGACCCGAAGCTCCTGTTTGTTTACCGCATCAACGGCTCCGATTTTTTTTCCCTTTTTTGAAAGCGGACTATTCGTTTTTTTTTCCGATCTCGCAGGGAAGGAGCCCCCCAAAACCCATCAAGATCACAAAGAGCCCATTTTTTTTACCCTCGTCTCCCTGCCGACGGAAACCCCCCCTCTCGCACCTGTTTCCTTTGAATTATGGATAATTCACGTCGAGATATCCTCGATGCAATTTCCCCATTTCCAGCACCCTATCAAGAGAATATGGCGTTCCAGCTTTCAGCGAGTGCGGCAAGACGATCCCGAGTCCGAGAGGCAAGATGAACGATTCCCTTTTTCTCATTACGGCCGATACGCTTCCACTTACTAATAACAGGTTGTAAGAGGGGGAGTAATTAGACAGCGGAGAAAGAGCCGAGTCCACAGCCGAGGATCGAACAAGAAGTTACGAAGCAGCGGCGAGCCGGAGTCAGACGCAGGCAGAGGCTCTCGACCCGACCCGAAGAGAGAAACCAATCCCGATTCTCATCATGAGAGAATCCCTCTCCTCTTCAGTCCGCCCCAAGCGATACGTTGAGCTGCAGCAGCGTTTAATAAGCTTTATGACAGTAGGAGGTTAGCTGGAGCTGGAGATGGCCGTGGGCGAGGGCGCAAGGCCGGTCGGCGAGATTACACTGAAATTTTTTTTCTCTCCACCTCCCCCCTCGACAAACCGCTTTGCTTTCGATCCTCATCCGAAGGCATCAATCAATTCCCCCTGACAATCGTTTGCTCTGATGGGTCCTACCAGGATTTACGAGCATCAATATTGAATTTCTCGGCTCGGATCCGAGGCCGGATGTGTCGATAAGGGCGCAGACTGAGGAAAAACTTGCTCACACACGTATGACCCAAACAGGTGCTGTTGTATTCATAATCGAGAAACCAGACGATAAGAAAGCCAAGAGGGGAAGGAAAAAAAAAAGAGAAAAGCTCTTGAAGTCTTCCGCTGCCGAGAGCTTTTTCAATGAGACTTCTCTATGCACGCAGTACGCACAGAGAGAGAGCGTGGGAAATGCACGGTTTGACATGGCACAAGCACCTTTTCCATGAATGCAAAAGCGTTCTCGAGTGCTCGTGAAACGCCGGTTCGGCTCTTTTCAGCCAAGTACCGAGATAAGACTAGTTAGTCTGAGAGGATGATAATCCTTTCTTTCCATGTCGTCGGAATCGCAACACAAATGCAGCCGCAACCCTTGATGAATGAATCAGCCAAGCATGCCGAGGCCAGGAAGAGCAAACAGAAATATTGTTGGAGATGACACAGCACTATGACGGTAGCCGGAGGAATTCCTGGCAATCCAACAAGCTGCCCTCGACTCAGTACGGTGGGACGATTTGCGAATGGACAACAAAAAAAAAGACCTGGGCTTATCAAGGAGATGAAACTCACGGTCCAGCTGAAGGTGAACTTGAGAACGAGCGTGGGGACGCTCTGGTCGGGATCCGAAAAGGCGAGTTCGTTCGCTTCCCCGATGACACTGCTGGACGTGTTGCCGTACGTACAGGGTCCCTTCAGGGTCACTTGGTTTTGGTACTCTTTAAGGCACAGACGAAAGTAAGTGTGACACTGGGCGCTGCAGGAGCCACTCTTTGTCTTCACGCCACTTCCACAACATTCCCCCGATTCCACTTCCCCTCGAAAGTTTTGCACGCTCAAGATCTGGAGTTCGAACGCGCCAGACGCCAGTCCCAGCTGTGGGAGAAACGAAAAATCGAAAAATCAATCACTACTTTCTTCGAATGCATCATCTCGGCTTTGCCTCGAGAGTAATTTTTCTTAGTTCACTGCAGCAGGCTGTAAAGGCCATCAATAAGTCTTAAGAAAAATGAAAATCATTAGCACTTCTACTTCCAAGAGACACGAGCTAATATACATGTTTTGAAAAATTGCAAAGCTGAAAGCCCATTGCCATTTTCATATGATCCATTTCTCTATTCATTTTCCTATTTAAGTGTTGTCTTACCGTATGGGAGATTAGTAAAATAATGGAAGAATGGAGCTTCGTTTCCTTAATGGATCAATTTTTATAGTCGTTTCTGCTGTATAAGTCAATCCGACACCTCGATTGTACGCGATTTTCCTCCCCAACAAAGATTTTACAAAACAACAAAATGAATAGCGAAAAGCCAGATTAAGTAAGATGATGTGATTGTTAATTCCCCTGTTCTGAGACGATGAAAGTGACCGTACCTGCGGGACGTGGATGAGAGCAAATAAAAAGAGAGCGAGGATCATGGTGACCCGATGTTGCTCATCAACATCACGTGTGATCCATGACGATCATGATTCGTTTGCAGCACACAAAGTGAGGACGACAGAGGAAGGGAGAGAGAGAGAGGAAAAGTCACATGGGGTCAGGCCGGCATCTTCAAGGATACTGACTGACGGACGGCCCCATCCCTCACTTTGCCCCCGCCACTGCCCCTGAGGTAGCCGCCTGAGCCGGGGCTCATAGGCCCGCCACCGCTACTCGCCTCGGCGCATGCTCCTTCTTCCTCTCCCTCTCCCTCCTCTCCCTCCCTTTTTTCTTGCTCTCTGACACGAGCAGCTCAAAAATGTCATCCCCCCCATGACCAGGATGACATCCACGATTTTTTCTCTCGACTTTTTACATATTTTTCTTCCAGAGAAAGGAGGATTCCGTTTGCAGTTATGGCTTCTCGTGATGGGCATAAAGTACTTCGAATGAAACTTCCCCGCTGACTGCTCAGACTGCAGGTGAGAGTTACTTTCGGTCTAAATACCTCTCCACCGTAAAGCTAAAACTATCTGACTACCATGCATCGTTCGGATTTTTTCTTCAACTACGTTACGGCACGTATTAATGAGACACGATAACTTCACTAGCTTCCCGAATTTAAAGTAGGAGAATCGCTGCATCATGCTTCGAAGATTAATGTGAATTTCAGGGGCATAAGCACTTCCTTTCGCAGTACTCAAGGGGTAATCGCACCCTTAGGGGTTCGCTCCTTCGCTCCATTTGGTTTCGCAAACTGCGTGATGCCCTGGAAAGTAATGCTTGAGTTCTGACAGCTAAAATTAAAAAAATTGCTTAAAGCAGCAGTTGCACAATCTCAATATGTACTTTATCTGGAAAAAAAACTAATACTCGCAGTAGTTTAGTTTAAATTAATTAACTCTTTCTTTAAGCAGTAGTTTAACTACAGTGTCACTAATAAAAAGAAAGTGTTCTATAGAATTCCTATGAAGAAATTCTATCGCGGACATTTTAAAAAAGAATTCCTGCAAGTTTTCTAGAAAATAATCTTAATAGAAATACATAGTTCTAAAGAATAGGAGGAAGAACTCCTTATTACTCCATGATTTGAAGAGAATTCATTCGCTATATAGCGTCTGTATGTATGATTCGAAGAATTCTTCGTAATTGATATAGATTCTTTTATTTAGAAAACTTGCAGAAAATCCAAATAAAACCTCTGTAGAATTCTTACGAAGGCAGTCAATACAACCCTTTCACCTTGATGGTTACACTAGCTAACAAAGTTTACCACCCTTTGGTCTTTTACTTTCTTTCAGCGTTATGATGATGCGAGAAAGTCCGAGGAAGAACAATTCTTCCGGTTACGAATCGCCCTTTTGGCCGAGATATCATTCATAGGGATCGTTGGCGTCCTTCCTTTCAGTGCTTGTTTGCTTGCTTCATGTTATCTAGTTCCTGTGGCTTTTTTTTTTTTTTTTTTTTTTTTTTTTTTTTTAGTCTCAGAGTAGTGTAAATAATTTTCTTTGTTCTTTTTGTCGGAGGACTCTGCTCAAATGGTTGCTACCCAGACAAGACAGCTGGTTCTGCAGGTACCTCATCTGCCCAGATCGGCGAGGAGCAGCTGAGCGGATGTGAGTTTTTTTTTCGCATCTTCGCGTCTTTTTGCCACTGCCCGATGCCCGAGACCCGGGGAGGTAATCGCCAGCGCCTTCCCCGCTCTGATGGATGGCTTCGTTATCGTGCGAGGTCGAGGAGAAGGAAGGCGGCGAGACGCGTTCGAAAAATTCGTTCGAGAGAGGAACTCAATACGGTCGAAGAAGGGAAGCGTCGTAACGGTACTAACGTCACCTTTCAGTTTATGGAGCAATAGAAGCTGAAACGACCTTTGGGCCACTGTGGCAAGTGCACTTGCTTTAGTACTTCATTCGGCGTTCATTCGGGACTGCGATTATTAGAAGCCGAACTTTAGGCTGGCTTTCCGTCTTAGATTTTTGCTCTACTGCTCATAGTTCTTTTAGTTTTTATTCAAAAGATATCTATTACCGAGTAAAGAAATACCTCTCGCCCGTATGGCACTCTTCGCTCGCATCGAGACGTTCGTGACCTTGTCTCAGTTTGTTCTCTTTTTGAGCCAGTAAACTTTAGTGCAAAAATAAAGGAGTGTACACGGTAGGCAGGGCAAACCAAAACAAATAAAAAGTGCGTTCTCATGAAGGACTCTCTTGTGCAATGCACATTCTCATTTTCTGTCTCTTCTTCTTTGGTAGGAAGACATTGATATAGGGTCATCGAGAATTCATTGCCGATAATATCGTTATGCGGTAACGACGCAGGTAGGAGAACAGACGTAAACAACATGCCAGATGAACGTGAGTTTCAATTTCACACATCAGAATCACCGTTACAAACAGGAGAGAGAAAACAATGCCCTGCTCGCAACTGCTCACGGGAGATCTCATGCCGAACGTCGCCGACTTCTGACTGCCACGGACCGCGTCGCTTCCTCACTCGTGCGACTTAACGTTGACCCTTGCAGGGTCACAAGGATGAAGGAAGAGAACAGGGAATCCCCAAAGACGTCTACAAAAATGCACTATTGTGTTCGGATGAGCAAAGGAAAGGGAAGGCCCCGCGAGTTCCGCCCCTTTCCTTAGAAGCGCGGCTGTAAAATGCGCTCCCCTCTGATGGACGTCGGACGAGAGCAAGGCTCGAGAGGAAACCTCGGAAATGGGTTTCCGCGCTTCTCTTAGAGATGAAATGTCCGGGTTCCTCCTGGTTCAGATCAGCCTGCAGGACCAGCAGCGTTATTCCGATGGGCTTTTTTCCATTTGGAGAATTTTCAGGTTGAGGGTTTCGAAACGAAGTTTGCGATGTTGTTGAGTTAAAAGGGTAAGTCATCCGTGAACCGCTCTTAAGAATGAAGAAACTCCCTGCCCGAGACCCTCTTTAAATAAAAAAAAGGTGCCAATTGGGAAGGATAACAGCATAAAAATGTCTGCTTAGTGTGAAATAATATTTTTCATATTTTTAAAATATGATATGCAATTTAATATAATCATATATGAAATAGATGGTGACCTGTGAATTACATTGGGACAACTAGCTTTTGTATCGCTTTGAATGTAAAGCAGGTTTTCTGTGGGAAGAACAAGCTGAAGCAAACAATGTTGTGGATTCTGGCAAGGGAGTATAGAATATGAATTAAGGTAGGTGATACGGATTCCGACCCCTTTAAGCTCAAAGTCCACTCCCTCAACTACGTTTTGAACTTTTTTAAAAATATATTACTACTAATTCGAGAGGAAAATGCCCGCACATTGTCCATTCGCTTATGGGACCGAAAATTAGTGTAATTTGGCTGTTTTGATTTCAGATTAGGTTAATTATGTAATGTGGTGGGGGGGGGGGGGGGGGGACTTTATAGCANNNNTGGGGGGGGGGGGGGGGGGGGGGGGGGGGGGCCGGACTTTATAGCAAGGTCGGGATTTGTCCCACCTACCCTATATGCCTTAGTTAGCAATTTTCATTGTCGTCAGTAGTGAGTCTAGAGTTCTAATTTCAGCACAAAAAAGAGACAAAAATGACTTATTTGGGATGATAATGATGGTTACTCATGGCTTACAGGAGGAGAACATGACACCGTTACTGAAAATCTGCAGGTACTTCTTCCGCTTCCATTAGAGGTTAACTTAACAGAAATAATTTGATATTTTCCAAAATTCCGGACAGAGAATGAACATTTTTTTTATGTTCCCACCCGTGGCCGTCATTCCGGAATACCGAGCTCACCGCCTATTTCGCGTGAAAGCCTCCTCTGCACGAGACAACAAAAATCCATTTCTACGGGAGAGGAATCATTCGCGGAAGCGGATCGACCCAACCCCCAAGATTCTTAACTTTCATTCGACATCAGAGCATAAAATCCCCGGCAGCGAGACGAGACAGCCGCGAATGGAAGCGGTCCGGCCTGGCAACACGAACACGTCACGACTGAGGACATTCCGAGCGTGCCCCCCTCCCGCATGACACCGGGAAGTGTCGAAAGAGATGGGAAGTCCCTCCATCCTCTCGGGGAGGTGGAAGGACCCGGGCACCCCCGAGGAGACCTGCGGCGTGACGCAAGGCACTCGGGCCGTCCTCGTCGGGGTTGACAGGTGACTGGAGAGCGGACGGGTGAGGGACTCCCGTCGCATCGTTCAGGTGACGAGATGACAAGTCATTCGACCGTTCCTAATCGGCATTCCTTTTTTCCATAATCCTTTGAATATTAATGAACATGACGGTGAAAGCAGCGGCGTTGAACGGTTTGACCATTTCGGTCACGAAATTTCCGGCCACTTTCAAGTTCTGTTCGCGTGAGAACACCCGTGAGCAGCAAAGGAATATCTCATCTCGATATTCGTAGCTAGGGTGGTAGCAGCCATTTTTAGCTCCAAAATAGGGAGACGTGGTTATTCCTGTGCGACCAGGACTGGGCGGATACTTCCCCACTTCAGTGCCTCACGACCTCGGGTGCAGCATTAGGTAATTAAGAACAGATTCGAACTGCACGTCCCAATTGAGCACACCGTGACTGGCGAAGGAGCCGATAAATGGAGGGAGGCTGTCCCGGCGCGATGGAGTCGGCGTGTGCGGCGAAACGAACGAGGTCAGTTCGATTCGGCTTTCAGTCAGGCAGAAAATCGAAGCGAAAAACCTTTCGGGGAAAGACTCTCTTAAGGGAGGCGCGTGAGTCACGCCGGCGACTCTCCGCACTGGGTGCGGAGAGTCAGTGCGGAGAGTCACCGCTGCGAAAAGTCGACGCATCCTCGTCTCGAAAAAAAAATCTCGAAAAAGCGGAATCGAAAATATTTTCGGTCGCTGAGTGGTCAGCATTCACTAAACACAAACGCATTGAGAGTCGGGCCAACTGTCCCATCTAAAAATTGAAAGAACGCCAACGGCGGTTTGCGAACACTCACCTTAAATGCTTTGACGTTTTCTGAATAGGCCAGATGTTCGAATCTTGCGGCTTGTCAGGGGAAGGGCCACACGGGCTTGCCAGAGGACCGCACTCGGTTCCTCATTCGAACGGGGGAGTCCCTAAAAGCGGGGGGGAAGGGGGGGGGGAGTCCTTGCCCTCTGAGTGCTGTGGGGGACTCGGTGAACCCTGATTTCCCACGAGTCGAATGCACCTGTGACGATATGATACTGCCGGTGCTGATTCAGTACTGCAGGAGCAACATCATGCGA